GAACATGGATTCTTACTGACAAGTTCCTGCATACCATTCCTCATTTTTGCATAGTATCCAACTGTTACAACTTAGTGATGACTGTGGCAGCAGAAATCTACATGTAGGCAGATTTAAAAATAGCAGGTAGTTTCAGATTTTAATTTAGATGTGTGGCATATCGAATTGAAAGGTATATCAGGCACAATTCAAGAAAAATTGTTTAAATGGTTTAAAACATACAATTTTCTACTGGAGGAAATTAATACTTAGAAACTTTCTGATGCATTTTTGAACAATCTAGCAGTTATTACAAGTTCATGATTACATTTTAAAATAAGAATTAGTCGAAAATGTATGCTCTTTAGATTCATTTAATAACAAAGAAACCCTGTTGAGACCAAAGAGGAAAAATGTTTTATTTAGCTATTTTTCTAGTTCTATCACTGCCAGAAATCATCACCATTATCCTTGTGTATTAAAAAGAACAATGAGCATTGCAAACAGATGTCAACTAGTAATTATACTGTAAGGGAATTTCTTGGTATTCAAAAAAATGTTTGACACCTAGGAAATGTGTCTATATTTCATACACATAATTGCTAAAATATGGTGATAAGATAGTTTTGAATATTTTATAATCACAAGTAGAGAGTTATAAAAATTGGTGAAATCTAAAGGAAACTTGATAAGGTGCTGGTGGCAAATTCCAATAGGTCATAATTATGCAAGAAGTTCTTCAGAAACTGATGGACATCTTCAGCAGAGCTGAAGATCTGCATATTATTGCCTGCTGCCAGACACCTGAGGGCAGTTCCCCCAACTTGATGGTCCTTTATTGTTTACTGGACCTTACTTTTGATATGTATATCTGCTTTGCTAAAGGGAATTTGGGTCCAAAGATTTGAAGAGCCCACTTCACTAGAAAGTGGAGCCTCCCCTGGCTCCCCCATGCCTCTCAAATTTATATTTCCTGTCTAGTGTCTAGTTTATTCATTTATACACAGCCCTTTCTCTAGATTCCTGAAACCTAGTAGCAGAAAGATCCTAGCAATAACAATACATATTTATGCAGATACATGCATAGCTAATTAAATAACACACACATATGTGTATATATGTATTTCATGCACCGTGCCTCTAATAGGCACGGTGCATGAAATTCATGCACAGGGATGGAAGGGTGTCCCTCAGCCCAGCATGCACCCTCTTCAATCTGAGACCCTCGAGGGATGTCTGACTGCCTATTTAGACCTGATCCTGGTGAAACTGGGTCTAAATGCACAGTTGGACATCCCTCTCACAATCCAGGACTGCTGGCTCCCAACTGCTCACCTGCCTGCCTTCCTGATTGCCCTTAACTGTGTCTGCCTGCCAGACTGATCACCCCCTAACCACTCTCCTGCCAGCCTGACTGATGTCTAACTGCTCTCCTGCCAGCCTGTTTGCCCCCAACTTTCCTCCTCTTCCAGCCTGGCCATCCCTAACTGCCCTCCCCTACAGGGTTGATTGCCTCAAACTGCCCTCCCTTGCAAACCTTGTCCCTCTCGACTGCCCTCCCTTGCAGGCCTGGTGCCTCCCAATTGCCCTCCCCTGATGGCCATCTTGTCGAGGCCATCTTGTGTCCACATGGGGGCAGGATCTTGGACCACATGGAGGTAGCCATCTTGTGTGTTGGAGTGATGGTCAATCTGCATATTACTATTTTATTAGATAGATAGAGGCCTGGTGTATGGGTGGGAACCAGCTGGTTTGCCCTGAAGGGTGTCCCAGATCAGGGTTCGGGTTTGCTTGGGGTGTGGGGAGGCCTGAGCAAGGGGCCTGTGGTGATTTGCAGCCCAGCCACGCCCCCTGGCGACCCAAGTGGAGACCTTATCTGGAATTTATTTACCTTCTACAACTGAAACTTTGAAGCCTGGAGTGGAGCCAAGCCTTCTGCTGGTTCCTTGGCTGGTAGCCATTTCTGTTGGAATTTATATATCTTCTATAATTGAAACTTTGTAGCCTGGAGTGGAGGCCTGGGCTGGCCAAGGTGTGCAGGAAGCTTTGTTTTCTCTATTGCCAGGGGCAACCCTAACCTCCTGCTCTTTCCAGCTCCATGGCTGCCGCCATTCTGTTTGGATTTGTTTACCTTCTATAACTGAAACTTTGTAGCCTTGAGTAAAGGCTTAGGTTAGCAAGGGCAGCCAGAAAGCTTGGCTTCCTCCATTGCCTGGGAAACCCAAGCTTTCCTCCTGCTCTCTGTGGCTATAGCCATCTTGGTTGGGCTTATTTGAATACTTGCTCTGATTGGCTGATGGGTGCGGCTAGTGGGCATGGCTGGTGGGTGTAGCAGAGTGACAATTAATTTGCATATTACTCTTTTATTAAGTAAACTATGTAATTTAGTTTATTTTTGTTCAACCAAAGTCCCTGAAACACTAGGGTCCATGAGGTAAAAAATGGGATGTTTTGGCTATTTCGAATATTTCAAAGGCCTTATAGAAATTGTAAATTTAACCATGCTTTGATTCAAAGATTAACCAAGTGTCTTTGCTTTTGGATAGAATGACATCAGTTCTATCTGGAAATACTAGCGTCCTTATGCTGACTAGAAACTCTGATAGCCCTCTAATTCTAGGTGTTTGATAAGAAGGATTTGTCTGCATGCATATAAGCATAATCAATGGATACAGACACCAGGAGGGTGAAGGTGTGGGAGGGGGAAGGAGGGGAGAGGGAACAATGGGGGGATAAGGACACCTATGTAATACCTTAATCAATAAAGAAAAAAAAGAAGAATGGAATAGCAAATTCACAGTTAGATATTATAATAGAACAGAGCTTTAAGAGCTCATGTTCTGAAGTAAAAAAAGACCTGGTTCCATCCTTGACTTAGCACTCACTAGAAGTTCTACGTTGAACAAGTTACTTCATGCCTCCAACACAGCACCTCCATTTTCTTATTTAAAATAGAAGAAAATGTCTGCTTTATAAGGAATAAACTACTGAAAGCAAAACACCTAACTTCAATAAAATGTGGCTATTAAAATTCCTGTTATAATATTACAGAGTATAGCTGGTTTGTAAAATCTTTCAAAATAAGGATCAAGAAGTAAAATTAATAAAGTAGACCATAGTAAAAATACAGGTTTAGTTAGTGTTAAAGTAGCATTTCCCAATCATCCTTGAATTTTCATGTAGAAAACTTCAAGAATATGCACCAGGTGTATTATTATTAAATAATATTTTGTCCAAAATGTGATTAAATAAAAATTCACTGCTTGCGGGAATGCCAACTGATATAGTCACTATGGAAAATATGAATATTCCTAGAAATGTTAAGAATAGAGTTACCACCGAAGCCTGTTTGGCTCAGTGGTAGAGCGTCGGTCTGCAGATTGAAAGGTCCCAGGTTCGATTCCGGTCAAGGGCATGTACCTTGGTTGTGGGCACATCCCCGGTAGGGGGTGTGCAAGAGGCAGCTGATCAATGTTTTTCTCTCATTGACATTTGTAGCTCTCTATCTCTCTCCCTTCCTCTCTGAAAAAAAAAATCAATATTAAAAAAAAAAAAAGAATAGAGTTACCATATGGCCTAGCAATCCCTCTTTGGGGTACCTATCCCCAAAATCTGAAACATTTATTTATAAAGATATATGCACCTCTATGTTCAATGCAACATTATTCATGGTGGTCAAGACATATAAATAATTGAAGTGTTCTTTGAGAGATTATTGGATAAAGAAATACAATGGAATGCTACTCAGCCTTAAAAAAAGATGAAAAACTGCTATTTTATGGGACCAAACAGATGGATTTTGAGAATGTATTGCTAAACAAAAAAAGTCATAGAGAAAAAGTCAAGAACAATATGATTTTCCTCATATGTGGGATATAAAACTGAAAGTACCAAATGAACAAACGACAATTGAACAAAGGAAAACTCAGGGACAACAGTATCATGGTTACCAGAGGGGAAGAGGGGTGGGGTTGTAAAGTAGTAAAGGGTAAAGCAAGTCAGATTTTGGTGACAACAGATTTGATATTGGACGGTAAACACATAATGTAATATACAGATGATGCATTATAAAATGGTAACTTGAAACCTGTCATTTTATTAATCAATGCCATCCCAATAAATTAAAAAAAATGTTTTTGTGTCTGGGTTGCCAAGCACTATTTAACAACCAGCATAATTACTCTTACTATGGCTAATTCGACCAGTCAGGGCAAGAACAATCTTGTTAAAGGGACTTCATAGCTGCTAAGGATTACAACCCAAGGAGGGGTGATTTGTGGATTTATGGTTGAGATAACCTTTTTTTAGGTTGACCATTTTTAATTGTATTTAGGATTTTTTAAAATAATGGAATAAAGCCTTATTCTGAATAACCAAGTGTTCAAATCTTGCTTCTCCCAAGCCTCTTTGATAATTTATACCCCCCCCCCCAAAAGGGAGGGTAGGGTGTGGAAAGTCAGAAAATGCCTTTGCTACATAAAAGCTTTAGAATTTCAAGAACATTGAGAGTCAACAGGGAGGTGCTATGTTCAATTCCAGGGGTCCATCACAGACACGATGGAATTCGGATATGCCTGGATGGCAGCAATATTAAGATTGTGTTAGATGTAACCCTAACAGTAATTCCTCATATTTTGTAGCGCCAATGAGTTGTGAAGTATTTTTTTTATGTACATATGTCATTAGATCCTCACAGCAATTGCTTTAGGGAGACAGGGCAGGATATTATTATTTTAATCATGTAAGTGAAGAAAAAGGTTTGCTAAGGTACTTTGTTAATAAGAGACAAAGCCAGGATTAGGTCCTCAGTCTTTTGGTTTCACTGGGTTTTGTGTCTGGTGATTTATTAGAATGTCATATGCAAAAGGCTTTACATTAATAATTTAAACATAAATGTGAGAAATGATTGTTATGCAAGTCTACACTTGTCATTTGTTCCTAAGCTTTCTTTTTCTAATATTTTCTTATTTCTTAAGAAGCCAAATGGATTGTAAAAGCTAATTTATTTTTTCTCTCATTAGGCTCGAATTATGAAAGATGTGATTTTGAGGATGGGCTCTGTAATATGACACAAGATCAGAGTCTGAAACTTGGTTGGACAAAGAGAAATGGAATGACTGGTCTATCACCTCCATTTTATGATCACAATGGTGCTATATCTGGTAAATACTTTGAATTTCTTTCATTTCTTCCTTTTTTGTCATGTGTTTGATTATGTCAGTAGAATCTTGGCTGATATTTAGATACAAATAATTATACTGTCTAATTTTCTTTATACTGTAACTCTAACCATTTTTGATATTTGTTATTTTAAAATATCACATTGGATTCTTATAATTAAGTTCATGGGATCCCAAAGGTATCTAGACAATAATTAGGATGTTTTATATATTTTGACTCTATGGAAATTGTGAAATTTAAACATGAGACTCCATAAATTAATTCATCAATTTTATGCTTTGCTTTTGGCTAGACTGATTTCAAGAATCCTGCCTAGCTGATTTGGCTCTGTGGATAGAGCATTAGCCTGTGGACTGAAGGGTCGCAGGTTTGACTGGGTCCAGGGCACATGCCCAGGTTTCAGGCTCTATCCCCAAGGGGTGGAGGTAGGAAGAGGGCTCGGGGGGAGGGGGGCAATGCAGGAGGCAGAGGATCAAGGATTCTCTCTCATCATTGATGTTTCTATCTCTTTCTCTCCCTTCCTCTCTGAAATCAATAAAAAAATATATATATATTTTTTAAAAAGAACCTCTTTGGCATTAGTATTTTAGCGTAGAAGCTTGTTAGCAGAGTGTGGAAAGATCCTGGCTGAGAGATTAACATGAAGCCAGTATTTCAGTAGTAGAACTGCAAACATGGCCTTGTCTGTTTAGTTATAGTTGTAACCTCAGTGCCCCAAAGAGCGATCGTTATAACATGTGTCAGGAAACATCTCTATATCTAGGCTTCTTATCTGTAAATGGGATTAACGCTACCTACTTTTCATCCTGTCGTAAATTTTCAATTTTTATATGATATATTTTCAGAGCTAAATTTTAAAATCTATTAGAACATTAAAAACATGCCTGTGTCAATATTTGAAGTTTACTAAAACTCAAGGTAGAGTGATTACAATGTATTACTGATTTTAAAAAATATATATAATTTTTCTTATGGTAGGTCTGAGAAAGGCAGAGGTGGGAAGGAGGGCCTAAGGAGGGGAGGGGAAGGGAATATCTGTAATACTTGCAACAATAATGATAATGATACTTTTTTTTTTTTTAAGATCATCTTTCTTACGAGTATTTAAAACCAGGTTTAAATGGTAATATTAAAACTTTTGCATTTTGACCATTTGTTATATTGGAGCTGAAATCTGTATATTATGAAATAAGCATTCTATTAAACAGCATCCAAAGTTTTTATTTTGTTCTAGAAAGGTGTGATGGTTCTAGCCTAGGACTGCAGCCCTGTGCTATTCTCCAGAGCCACACCTGCAGTGACCCATTGCTGGGCATATTTTTGAGCTTTAAAAGTCTCATCTACACTGTGTTAACTCATGGCCATGTTAACTCTGTTTTTCCCGGGAAGCTATAAGCAAGCTCTATGTGCCCACTTATTTTTTATTTGTTTAGTTTTTGCCTCTGGCAGTTTATTATAAACATTTTCAAAGGATATGCAAAAGTTGAAAAAGTTTGCTGTGAGTAACCACATACTTACCACTTAGGTAAAACAACTCAAATAACTATATTTGTTTTATCAAATAGCTATTCATCTATTTATTTATTTCTCAATCCATCATATTTGCAATGCATTCAAAGAGAATTGCAGGAATTACTTTACCCCAAACAAAAAAATGGCATCCTTAACTAAATGCAGGAGTCCACAAACCATGGGCTTGGGGTATTTTCTGGTTTCTATAAATAAAGTTGCTGGTTTTTATTAGCTTGTGTTTGTATGTATTTTATTTTTTATTTTTTTTACATAGCCAGGCCCATTCATTCACAAATTGTCTGTGGCTGCTTTTGTGCTGCAAACTTGGATTTGAGTGTTTGAGTGGTTGGAGAGACAATATGGTCTACAAAGTCTAAATGATTTGGCCCTTTAAGAAAAGTTTGTCTGCTCCTACACTAGAGTTCAAGTTTTCCTTTTTTTCTTTGAGGTAAAATTTAAATTAGATTACAACACCAATATTAAGTGTACTCTTTGATAAATTCTGACAAATTACTATTTTTTTTTCTGCAACACCCATAGGTTAGATTTGCCTGTTCTAGAACTTCATATAAATGGTTCATACATTGTTGTATAAGGCCTTTTACACTTAGTATAATGCTTTCTGATTCATCCATGTTGTAGCATGTATCTTTAATTCTCTTCTTTTTATTGCTGGCCAGTATGCAATTGTATAGGTTATTCTCCCATTACCCTATGGACTTACACCTTTGTTTTTTCTTATTTTGAGCTATTATAATAAAACTGTTTTAAACATTATTTGTGTGTGTGTGTGTGTGTGTGTGTGTGTGTGTGCGCGCGTGTGTGTTAATCCTCACCCAAGAATATTTTCCTCATTGATTTTAGAGAGAGTTAAAGGGAGGGAGGGGGAAAGAAAGAGAGAAACATCTTTGTGAGAGACACACATTAATTAGTTACCTCCTGCATGTGCCCTGACTAGGTCCATATTTGCAACACAAGTATTTTCCTTAACTAGGAATCAAATCCATGACCTTTTGATGTGTGGACTGATGCTCTAACTACTTAGCCATACCAATCAGGGCTAACTAGTTTTGTTTTATTCCTTCAAATAACCATTCCCATAACACTATGCCACTTTTGTTTACCTTTAAAGCCTCCTGAAGCCCCCAATTTTATTATTTTTTTAATGTAAGCATATAAATCACTGGATTTTTTAATACCAATGTATCTTAAATTGTTCTATGCTGTCCTTTTTGAAGGCTGCTGGGAACCATAATCTATTAATACTTGTCAGACTGCATTATGTAGACAGTAAATTGGATTATTTCATTAAGGAAAAACAGCAGAAGACAAAAAATGGAAAGAAGAATCTTACATTCTCATTCTCTATATCACATTTTTGCAGCCTTTATAATCTTAACATCTTTTTATTTGGGAATCAGTAAAAAAAATAATGTTCAATGATTCCTTTATGTATGTATTAAAAAAAACAACACCTTTTTATCGAGCATTTCCACTGTTCCACAATCTTTTCTAGGACCTACAGATATAATAGTGAACAAGAACATAGCTCTTGTCTTCAATGAATTTGTAATTTAGTGATAGAGACATAAATTTAATACCTCCTCTATTTCAGAGACCTGCATTTTTTTTTTCTTTAAAGGGACAGATTATAAATCATTTTTTTTTAGGCCTTAAAGCCTATTCGACTCTACATTGTATTGTGAGAGTAGCATATACAACACATAAGAATCAAGCATGGCTGTGTTATAACAAAACTTTATTGATGGACCCTTGCATTTATAATTCATATAAATTTCACAGATCATAAAATACCCTTTAGAAAAATTTGAACCATTTAAAATGTAAAATTTAACTCTCCTACAAACCTGGTGGCAAATGCGATTTGTCTGTGGGCTGTGGTTTGCTGTTTGATAAACATTGAGTATTTTTGCATCTAACAATATGCAATTTTGGTGATACATGAGTACAGGATAACATTCCTCCTCTAAGAACAAACAAGTTATGATCTTAATTTTAAGTGGCCAGGGTTCACTTTTGTAGCAAATGTAACTGAAGCCTGCCTTGATGTTTACCCTGATTCTATAAAAGAATTAGCTTTGGTATTCATCTGAACTTTCTTCTTTTTTAAATTATTTTTTATTAACTTATTATCTGTGTACTTATTTTACCATTGTCCCTCGTCGCACCCATACATACCCTCCCTCCCCAGAGTTTTCTGTCCATTGGTTGTACTTATATGCATGTATACAAGTTCCTTCTCTTATCTCCCCCAGATCTCCCTCCCCTCCCCGCTATAATTTGACAGTCTGCTTGTTGCATTACTGTCTGTATATCTATCTTTTGGTTCATCAGTTTGTAATGTTCTTTATTATCCATAAATGAGTGAGGTCATGTGGTATTTCTCTTTCATTGACTGGCTTATTTCACTCAGCATGATGTTCTCCAATTCCATCCAGGTTGCTGCAAATGATGAGAATTTCTTCTTTTTTATGGCAGCATAGTATTCCATTATGGTGATGTACCAAAGTTTTTTGATCCAATCATCGGCTGACTGGCACCTAGGCTGTTTCCAAAACCTAGCTAATGTAGATTGTGCTGCTATGGACATAGGGGTGCATATATCCTTTCTGATTGGTGTTTTAGTTTCTTGGGATATATTCCTAGGAGTGGGATTACTGGGTCAAATGGGAGTTCCATTTTCAGTTTTTTGAGGAAACTCCATACTGTTCTCCACAGTGGTTGCACCAGTCTGCATTCCCACCAGCAGTGCACAAGGGTTCCTTTTTCTCCGCAGCCTTGCCAACACTTGTCGTTCGTTGATTTGTTGATGTTGGCCATTCTGACAGATACCACATTGTTGTTTTGATTTGCATCTCTTGGATAATTAGTGACTTTGAGCATGTTTTCATGTGCCTTTTGGCCTTCCTTGTGTCTTCTTTTGAAAAGATTCTATTTAGGTCCATTGCCCATTTTTTAATTGGATCATTCATCTTTCTTTTATTTAGTTGTATAAGCTGTCTATAGATGTTGGAGATTAAACCTTTATCAGTGATAACATTTGCAAATATGTTTTCCCAGACAGTGGGCTTTCTTGTTGTTTTGTTGATAGTTCCTTTTGCTGTAAAAAAGTTTTTATTTTGATGTAGTCCCATTTGTTTATTTTCTCTTTAGCTTCCATTGCCCTAGGGGCAGTATCAGTGAAGAAGTTCTTTTGGCATACGTCTGAGATTTTGCTGCCTGTGGATGCCTCTAGTATTTTTATGGTTTCCTGTCTTATGTTTAAGTCCTGTATCCATTTTGAGTTTATTTTTATGTATGGTGTAAGTTGATGATCAAGTTTCATTCTTTTGCATGTATCTGTCCAATTTTCCCAACACCATTTATTGAAGAGACTGCCTTGATTCCATTGTATATTTGTGCCTCCTTTGTCAAATATTAATTGAGCATATTGATTTGGGTTGATATC